CGCCAACCTTTCTGAACGGATCCCCACCCCACTGCGCCTACGACACTGAAGGACGAAGAGAGAAAGAGTAGCGACGGTCGCCGGGAAGCCAGTCCGCTCCGCCGTCTCGCCTCACTGCAATGCCAAACATCAACGTCGACCACCGTCGATCTCTCATTGCAGGGCCCAAGCTCCTCGTCGTGGACTCAACAACGTCACAGGAAACTGATTTTTTTTTTTTTTTTAGCCGCCGTTCTCGCCGCCGGAAGAGATCGCCGGGAAATCCGGAACACCGGCGATTCTCGTAGTCCAGTAGTTCATAATAAAACATAGCGGATAATTCCAAAAATTTAAAAAAAAATTTGCTTCATGCCAAAAATAAAATTCCAGCAATCCAAAATCAATTACAATTTAATTCATTCAAAATATACACGCTAAAATAATCAATTATATCAAAACTGAATAGATACAATTTTATATGCATATGTTGATGAATTAGAATGAATGTAATTGTAAACAAAACATATACAAAACTTGATGTATATGAAGACTAAACTTAATATCATTTTAGGCAAAACAATCAACCAGACAGAGATTATAAAGGCTCTTGATACCAAATGAAGATCTAAATGTGATCTAACTATACAGAGAATAATCTACGAGAAACTTAACTCGTAGTAGCGGAAGCGGAAGCACTGTAGATCTCCAGCCATGGTTGATATCTTGTTGTGTTGCCTCTTGAACAGTAGATCTACAGAATAGGGTTAGCCGTTTTGTCTCATACTTGATATGGTGTATTGGTATTTTCTGAGCAGTATGAGTACCATATTTTTAGAATGAAGGGAAGGGGGACACCCAAATTACATAGTGGGGCTATCTATCTGTCTCCAAATTGGTATTCCAGTCCTGTCTTCTTCTAGGTAGGGCTTGAGTTCCTCCGGGGCAGCGTCGTAAATCTTTAGACCCACAGCAGTATAGGCAGATTTGGCTAAGTAGTCTGCAGCTTGGTTCTGCTCTCTAGGAACATAAGCTATCGTCCAGCTTGCAATGTTGCTTAGCTTGCGCCTACATGCATAGATGATGTTCCTTGCCACAGTATCCACCATCTCGTCCTGGTTAGCAGCTTTGACTATCTTCATAGAGTCACTCTCGAAGCATACCAATCTCAACCCCAGGCTGATTGCTAATTGGATGCCTCTAAGAAGTGCCCAAGCTTCGGCGGCTTCGATCGAGCAGACTCTGGCTGTGTAAGTGAACCCTTTGATCCATCTACCTTGATCATTCCTGACTACCCCACCACATCCAGCTTGGCTTGTTGTAAGGTTGAGGCTTGCATCGATGTTAACTTTGATCCATCCATCTGGAGGCTTTGTCCACCTAATGAGACTCCATTTGCGTGTTGATGTCCTTTGGCCCATCGTGCCAGACTTGTTGAAGGCTTCATTAATTTCTCTGCACTGAGAATGGATCCAGTATACTTTCTGGTTGAGGTTCAGGACCTTGTCATTGAAGATTCTGTCATTCCTCCATCTCCATAGCCACCAAATTGACACGGCAAAGGTGATGCTGTTGTTGTGCTTTCGTCTGTTGCAGCCCCAGCCATTTACTCCTGCGTCAAGCCAATCCAGGAAGGTCGATGTGTGGGTAGTATTACTTGTGAAAGGCCCTACTGCTTCCCATAGTGATTTTGCCATAGGACATGCACGGAAAATATGCTCCGTTGACTCTACTTGATTGCCACAGTGGTTGCAACTAGGATTGTCCGTGAATCCTCTTTTCACTCTGTTCTCGTTAGACATGATTTTATCGTGCCTAATTAGCCAAAGGAGGAATTGCATCTTGGTCGGGATTTTCAGCTTCCAAATATTGCTCCATCTTCGCGTCTCCGGTTGAGGGTGAGGATTAGATAATAGCGAGTAAGCCGAGGACACAGAGAATTCACCGGTGGAGCTGCCTCCCCATCCAGTGCTATCTTCCACACCTTCGTTGTCTACTATGATAAATGCTCCTAATTTCTGAAGAATCTGGGTTGGTAGGAGGTCCGTTATTTCGTCCCATTTCCATCCTCTAGTGTTTTCCCAGTAATCTGCTACTCTTGCGTACAGGGTCGGTAGAGGCAGGATTACTGCTGTATAGTTAATCAAAGGACGTTGATCGATCCAAGGTTCCAGCCAAAATAGGGTGTTTCTTCCATTTGCAACGATTTTCTTGAGGCCTTTGATCAGGGTCGGAGCTGTCTTCAGTATTCCTTTCCAAGCGGTAGACATCCCTGTCTTTGGCTGCCAAGTGTTAGGGTCTAAAGAATGTAATCCGTACTTTGCTTTCATGATTTGAGTCCATAAGCCTTCTTCGCCCGATTGTAGCCTCCAACCTAACTTCATCATGAAGGCTAGGTTCATGTTTTCGAGTTTCTTTAGGCCGATTCCTCCATCCTTAATTTCCTTCGTGACTGTATCCCATGCCACAAGGTTACACTTTCTATCACCGGCAGGCCCTCCCCACAGGAAAGCTCGGATTAGCTTCTCAATTTCGTCAAGGACTCCCAGAGGTATTAGTGTTGATTGCATCGAATAAACTGGTATAGCCGAGAGGACCGCTTGGGCAAGAACTTTCTGCCCAGCTATGGAGAGAGTTTTCATTTTCCACCCTGCAAGTCTGTCGCGGATTTTATCTACCAACCCCTGCCAAGAATCTTTTTTCAGTCTACCGTGTTGCGAAGGGACCCCCAGGTAATTCCCTAGATTTTCCGAGATTGTAATATTCAGTATCTCCGTTATTTCCCTTTGGTTGGCAGTAGCAGTATTCTTAGAGAAGTACACTAGGGACTTGTCATAATTGACTTTTTGACCCGAGCTATTGCAGAAGCTGTCTAGACATTGTTTGATTAGCAATGCTTGCTGTGGTGTTGCTTCCGCAAAAAGGACCATGTCGTCCGCGAATAGTAGATGCGAGATACTTGGACCATTTTTGGAAACTTTGATTCCTTTCCAGAGGCCTTCCTCGACTTTCTGATGGATGAGGTGGCTCAATCGTTCAATGCAAAGTACAAAGACTAACGGGGATATCGGATCGCCTTGTCGGATGCCCCTTGATGGCTTGAACTGTTGGGTACGCTTGCCATTTATGGAGACTGCCAACCTTGCTGTTATGATGCATGCCATGATATGTCTGACCCAAACTTCACTGAATCCTGCCTCTTGAAGGGTATCTTGGATAAAACTCCATGACAGTCTATCGTAAGCCTTCTCAAGGTCGATTTTAAGTACCATAAGGCCCGTCTTCCCTTTCTTCCTATTAGCTGTGTTCAAGAGTTCCTGGTACGCAATTATGTTATCTACAATTTGCCTTTCAGGGACAAAGCTTGACTGGTTGTAGCCGATAAGCTTCTGGATAGCTGGCTTTAATCTAGAGGTAAGAGTCTTCGATATGACCTTGTACGAGACGTTACATAAGCTGATAGGCCGGAGTTGCTTAGCGCTCTTTGGATTCTGGACTTTTGGTATCAATGTTATAACCGTGTCGTTGCACCCTTCTCCCAGTATGCCAGACTCAAAATATTTCATTACAAAAGATATTAAGTTTTCGCCCACAACCGACCAATTTCGTTGGTAGAAACCGGCATGGTATCCATCTGGGCCAGGGGCTTTGAATGGGGCCATGTCGAAACATGCTTGCTTGATTTCCAGAGGTGTAAAAGGGGCATTAACACATTCCCAAATAGCTTCATGTAATGGAGGGAAAGACTTGCTCCAGTTAGCATGGGTTCTGTTGCTGACTTCCTCTGTATATAGATTAGTGAAGAAATCCGAAATGTGCTTAGAGATGGCATCTGCAGATTCCAGCCACTCACCTTGGTTGTTCTTCAAGGTAGTGATCTTGGAGTGTGCCTTTCTAGCAGATATCGTAGCGTGGTAGAAGGCTGTGTTGCGGTCGCCAGTTGCAATCCAATCCTCCCTTGAACTTTGAAACCAATAGAGTTCCTCCTGGTTTAGTATTTCTTCTAGCTCCTTGTGTAATTTGTTGTTCAACCTGATCAAATCTGACCTTGGGCAGTTGTCAAGAGCCTTTTGAGTTCCCTTGATCCTAGCTAGTACTCTTCGTTTCCTTTGAAATATGTTCCCAAAAGAGCTGTGATTCCAGCTCTGCAGTTTGGCTGCTAGGTTCTGTTTGGCATGCTCCAGCTCATGATCCGTCCTCCAATTGTCTTTGATAAAACTTGAAAAGTCAGGATGTGAGGCCCAAGCAGCATTATACTTGAATTCTCTTGGGCCATCGAACTTCTGATTGTCTGTGGTTCTAATGAGAAGGGGGGCATGGTCTGAACTGATTATGGGTAGATGGTGTACACTTGCTTCGGGAAAACGCACTCTCCATTCTGAATTGCTCAGGGCGCGATCCAACCTAGCTGCCTTGAAAGAAGTAGCACTTAGGCCTCTGTGAATTGGGCGCCATGTGAATTGGGGGCCTTCATACCCTAGGTCGATTAGACCCTCGTCAAAGATCCATCTCCTAAACCCTGCACACCGAGAGGAAGAAAAACTATCACTGTTAGAGACTTCATTTCGAGAGAGTACTGAGTTATAATCTCCGACTGATAACCATGGGCCCTGCAAGTTAAGGCCAACTTGAGATATATCTTCATATAGATTCCTCCTGAGGGCATAGTCGGGGCTAGCATACACGAAAGATAAATTCCATGGTTCTGAGTTCACTTCCTTAATCTTTAGAAGTATGAATTGTGGGTTGGTCATAAGGGTCTCGACTTGGAATACATTCTTCCAGAGGACCCAAATTCCACCCGAGAAGCCAAGGGCTTCAACTCTAAGCCATTGGTCGAAACCAAGGTCAAAACAAATTTCAGTAGCTTGGTCTCCAGAAACTCTTGGTTCCAGGAGGCACAAGATACTGGGTTTAAAATCTTTTAGAAAGAATTTTAGGGTATGGCGAAAGGTCTTAGACGCCTCCCCTTGGCAGTTCCAAACAAGAACTTCCATTTAACAGTAAAGGTAGGGGAGAGCAGCTCAATTGAGCGAAGGGGAACCCAAAGCCAGACTATGCCGGCTCCTAGACAAACTGTCTTCATCCATTAGTTCATTTGGCGTATCGCAATCGAAAAAATCAGCTCCCTCGTCCGGTGCAGCATCAATATTGGTGCTTGGGGGAGGGCGATCAGAGATTATCCCGGGGTCAATTTGGCGGTGGATGACAGTCGATCTTGAGACTGGCTGTCCCCTCACTATCCCTGTCACGAGTGTGTGTTCATCCTCCGCTGCTGCCCTCCGAGGGGTAGTCGATCTACCCCTTCCTTCCTGTTGGGTTGGACCCGCCGTCCTAATGCCCGGTAATCGGATGGTGGGGGAGAGGAGATGGTTGGAGTCACCACTTCTCTGTCCAGTTGATCTCGCAGATGCTTCTGCAGGATGCCTCACATGCCCTCTGTCGCTTGAAGGAGTGGTGGTCCTGGAGGGGCTCAGCGCTCTCCTTCTTTCTTGATTGCTGGGCGGATTAGCTTGCTTCGTCCTTGCTCGTTGCTGGTTAGCTAGGGGGCGGCCTAGGGGTTGAGTAGAGGCCGAGATATCTTCCATGGGTGCTTTGCCCGGATTCCTTTGAATGGTGGCTTCCACCTCCATTGGTTCCTCCTCCAGAATGTCGTCTTCCAAGTTGCTCAATGGGCCAAACCTGGTTGTAAGATTTTGGCGGTTAGTGCCATTTGAGGTGCTTGGGTCGTGGTTTCTATCCTTTGTGTTTTGCTTCTGGGTGGCTCCATAGGTCCCATCTCTCCTTGTTGATCTTCGGTCCTTTCTTGTTACCAACATCCAAGGTCCAAATCTTTCTTTAAGGTGGGTTTTGGACGAGGTCTTTTGGTGACTTACATCCGGTACCTGGGGAGGGACACTTTCCTTATCATTACATCCGTCCTCACCTGCAGTTTCTGGGGTGGACTCACTCTGTGCTTGCTCATTTAGGCCGCAAGCTTCTGACTTGTGGCCATACTTGCCACACTTGAAACAAATGAGGTGGATGTCTTCATATTCTATTGGGTATTCCTCCTCTTCGATCGTGAACTTTGCGAGAAGCTGCTTGGTGATATCGATTTCTACACAAATGCGGGCAAACTTCCCTCGAGACGCAAGGCAAGTAGTGTCATCAATTTTGATAGTTTTCCCAATCTTGTCACCCAGTTTAATCAACGTATCTTCATCAAAGTATTCTATAGGGATATCGGGAAGCCTTACCCACGCACAGATTTTCTGGATTTTGCTTGTCTGGGGTCTGAAATTTGGTTTCCATTGTTGGACTACCAGATAATGATCTTGAATTATCCACGGTCCCTCGCACCTTGCGATATCGTAATCTCTTTGGAGTTCGAAGCGAGCCAAGAAATACTCGTGTTCAAGATCAATCAATTCCATGTGGCCTTCCGGTTTCCATAAAGTGCGAAGCCGCCGAACTAGGTAGTTGTATCCGATTGCCCTCCCCATGAGTTGGATTATGAGGGTTCTCCGCCATGGTCTCCTGATTCTGATTTTGTCCTCCTTTGATAGTCTAATTCTAGGGCATTCTGGGTCGTCCTGTTCTTCTGAGCCTTCGTCATCCGATGTGTCATCCTCACAGCCTTCTAGATCATCTTTCTTGTAGGTAATAAATTTTCGTAAACTCAATTTGTAGCTTGCTGGTAGGGGCGGCGTCGAGGACGCGGGCTGGTTGCCTTCCGCCTCTGTCTCCATTGATTCTGGGCAGACCTCTGCGTTTGGGTTCGCACTTGACAAAAACAGGCCCTTCGGCGTTGTATTCAGCTGTGGAGAAGTCATCGGCAATTCCACCTGCTCTCGGGTTCTCTTAGTCTTCTTGGGTGCTCTCTCGCGTGGTACTGGCCCTTCCGGCGACCGATTGGTCGCCGCTGGTTCAGATCCTTCAGAGGGCGTGTCCGTTGGCATTTTTCATTTCTTGGAAGAACGTGAATCTATGTCCTTGGTTTCAAAAATAGTATGAGTACCATATTAAATCATGTATCTTGTATCCCATCAATACAAGCTTTATATAGGCACATTGGTGGAATACAGACTTAAACCTAAAGGTCCAACCCAACCAATTACTTAATGGGCCTAGTCCACTTGCACCACATAAGTAAGACCCATTGATGTTAGCACATCTGTTCTTGTTTTTATGGTTATTTTGAATCATCACAGTAATTAAGCTCTTTCATTTTGCTTATTTAATACATGTTTTCCTTGCTATTATCATTTAATTATGGTTCGCACTTGTTTTGAATGTTTTACGGTGTTTGTTAGTGTTTTTGAACCATTGTAGGTCAATTCTATGAGCAAGGGAAGTTCAAGGATGAGTTTAATTTGGAGCAATTTTGGACAAGTTCGGGACCCAGAGGACTCGACGCGTCGAAAATTTCCAGAAAGGTTTATGATCGAGACCAGCAGGTCTCGACGCGTGGAGAATTGGCTCGACGCGTCGGGCGCAGCAGGTCTCGACGCGTGGAGAATTGGCTCGACGCGTCGGGCGCAGCACGAAGTCGCGAGATATTTGAGTCCAATTTTGTACCAGATTCCTATTTCGTCTCAACTTTATACCTACTATAAAATCCCTCCTTCCTCAACCCTAAAAAAGACACCGAGAGATTTTTTAGAGTTCTTTGTAGACAAGAAAGAGAGAAATCAAGAGGCTCAAGTCGTCTTTGGAAGCAAGGAGGAAGCCAGGGAGATTTGGGAGAATCGCTTGGTTAATTCTTGTACTCTTCTGATGATTTGTAATCCTTTATTCATATTTGCTATGTATAATTTAGCCATGCTCGGCTAAATTCCTTAGGGATTTTTGGGTGAATTTGTTTATGAACCTATGTGCCTAGTTCGTTAATTTCTTAATATATTTATGTTTGGTTTTATGATTTGTGTTGCAATCTTGTTTTTAACCTGTTGTTGTTGGTAATTAAAGGCCTAAATTACTAGCTTCATAGTCATGTTTGTGTCACCAATGGGAATTGGATTGGAGAATTGGTGAGACCAGCAGGTCTCGACGCGTGGAGAATTGGCTCGACGCGTCGGGCGCAGCAGGTCTCGACGCGTGGAGAATTGGCTCGACGCGTCGGGCGCAGCACGAAGTCGCGAGATATTTGAGTCCAATTTGAGTCCAATTTTGTACCAGATTCCTATTTCGTCTCAACTTTATACCTACTATAAAATCCCTCCTTCCTCAACCCTAAAAAAGACACCGAGAGATTTTTTAGAGTTCTTTGTAGACAAGAAAGAGAGAAATCAAGAGGCTCAAGTCGTCTTTGGAAGCAAGGAGGAAGCCAGGGAGATTTGGGAGAATCGCTTGGTTAATTCTTGTACTCTTCTGATGATTTGTAATCCTTTATTCATATTTGCTATGTATAATTTAGCCATGCTTGGCTAAATTCCTTAGGGATTTTTGGGTGAATTTGTTTATGAACCTATGTGCCTAGTTCGTTAATTTCTTAATATATTTATGTTTGGTTTTATGATTTGTGTTGCAATCTTGTTTTTAACCTGTTGTTGTTGGTAATTAAAGGCCTAAATTACTAGCTTCATAGTCATGTTTGTGTCACCAATGGGAATTGGGGCATAAATTAGGGCACACACGATTGCACCTAATGGTTGGTCCTTGGGAAAGGGGAACTTATTAGGGGATGTTTATTCTAGATTATTGCTCATCGGGAGATGGTAGTAATTAGGAATAATTGAATGCTGATCTTTGATCTTATTGGGTGTTTAAGCCATGGGAGTGGAAATTCACTAGGAATAGAGATTACGGGAGTAATTCGATTCCACCTTGCATTCCCATACAAATCTTAATTCCAAACCAAATATTACAAACGTTAATTGGCACTAGGTGATTAAACATTGTGATCCCAAGAATCCTATTTTGCTCTATTGTCTACAAAACCTTGCTACTTATTTTATTCTGCTTGTTATTTTATGCAATCAATCAACCTTCAAGTTTTGTTCGGACTAGTTTCATATGAGTAACCTAGTAGCTAGTGATTAGTACACCACCTCTCTGTGGTTCGACAACCCGAATACTCCGGGTATTATTTGTTTGCCCCAAATTACAGCAATCAAATTGGCGCCGTTGCCGGGGAGGTGGCGTTACGTACTGACATTAGTGAAAGCCTTACTTTAGGAGTCTAGTCCAATTTTTTTTATTTTATTTATTTATTGATTTATTTTATCTGCTAATCCATAACAAGTTCCTTGTTCTTGAGTGTGATTTTGCTTTGAATCTAAGAACTTGGCTTTTTATGCATACACGATCTCGTGGGAAAGAAGGATTATTACCTTTGAATCTTGAGATTGAGAAAAGAGCCAAGTTTCTTAGGAAACAAACTAGGATGGCACAGGTACAAGAAAACCAAGCTGGAGGGAGATCAATGTCTGACTACCTTGCTCCGGATGTTGAGGAGCATGGTAGCATCAATATTCCAAATGTGGAGGCCAATAACTTTGCGATCAATCCGGCCATACTCAGCATGGCTGCGGCGGATCGATTTGGAGGGATGCCCACGGAAGATCCCAATGCTCACGCCACCAAGTTCCTACGACTTTGTGGTACTTTCAAGATAAATGGAGTCACTCAAGATGCTGTCAGACTTAGGCTTTTTCCCTTTACACTGAAGGACAGGGCTGAAGATTGGTTATCCTCACATCCAGATAACCATTTTGACACTTGGGACAAATTACATGGAGAATTTTTGAAGAAGTTCTATCCTATCTCCAAAACTCAAAGGATGAGAAGGGCAATTCAAAACTTTAAGCAACTGGCAACTGAGTCCCTCACTGAGTCTTGGGAGAGATTTAAGGAATTGAAGAGGCAATGTCCACACCATGGATTTCAAAGTTGGGATTTGATGATGTCTTTCTATGAAGGATTGCTGGATAATTCTAGGATTTTGGTGGATGCTTCTTCAGGTGGTTCGTTCACGATTCTAGAGCCAACACAAGCCGAGGAACTATTGGAGAAAATTGCTATGAATGGATCTACTTGGTACACGGAGAGGTCTCCACAAAAGCTTGTAGGAGGAATTCAAGATGCGGGGCAGTTAGCCGATTTGTCAACAAAGTTGGATAATGTGGTCTCCTTGGTTCAAAAACTTGCCCAAATCACCAGCCAAAATCACAATTCAGGGGATTGTATCGACGAGTTCAATTCCCAAACCTCTATGGAGCAAGTTAATATGTTGGGATATAATAGGCCTTATCAACAGTCTTACCAACCTCAAGGGACCTACCATCCTAATAATTCAAGGAACCATCCTGGTTTTTCATGGAGCAACCCAGTGGGAGCTGCCAACCCTCAACACTTTGTTAATAGAGGTCCTCTGGGTTATCAAGGTACTCAAGTTCAATCTAAATTTCCCGTTTCAGAGGCCCCACCACAATCGAATACGGACGCTTTGTTGGAAAAATTGATTAAATGTCAGTTAGAGATTACAGAAAGGATGGATAAAATGGAAGCTCGCCAAAATCTGGTTGAAAGGCAATTAGCAAATCAACCTTCTATATCAAGTACTAAAGTCACAGGGAAGTTGCCAGCTATGCCTGAAAATCCAAGGGAGCATGTAAATGCAATTGTCACAAGGAGTGGCAAAATACTTGAAGAGCCACCTCTTCCAATCAAAGCATCAATTCCTAAAAAAACAGTTGAGGAGAATATTGAAGAGATACTTGGTGGTATAGAAGATGAGCCAATTGCTGTGCAAAATAATCCACAAGTTCAAAAGGAAGTAGAGAAACCTGTGAGAAGGTATGTACCTCCATTGCCTTTTCCTCAGAATCGTGAAACAACAAAAGAAAGTAGGTGGAAAAAGTTTTTGGAGATTGTTGAGAGTTTGAAAGTTTCAGTTCCCTTACTTGATTTGCTTTCACAAGTTCCCTCTTATGGAAAATTTTTGAAAGAGATTCTAGCTAAGAAAAAGAAATATGGGGAACGAGAGATGGTAGCTGTGGCACAAGAGTATCAAGCGTTGACCCCGGGAATTGGGAGGAATATACCTAAGCATAGAGATCCGGGGAAGTTCACAATTCCTTGTGTGATTGGAGGCCGACCTTTAAAGGGATCCCTTTGTGATTTAGGAGCTAGTGTGAGTGTTATGCCTCTTACTCTTTATCAAGGGTTAGGGTTGGGAGAACCAAAACCAATCCAATTCACCTTAGAAATGGCGGATAGATCCATCGTAAAGCCTATTGGAATTCTTGAAGATGTCCCAGTCCGTGTGGACAAGTATTTTGTGCCTTGTGATTTTATTGTGATAGATGTCCGAAGGAACCTAGACGTTCCACTCATTTTGGGGAGACCCTTCCTAGCCACTATTGGAGCAATGATTGATGCAAGGAAAGGGTCCATGATTTTTGACTTTGGGGAGGAAAAAGTGGAATTTAATGTTCTTGATGAGCCAAAAATCATTGAATGCAAGTCAATTTTGCACATCGACCCTACTCTCAAGGTGACACATGATGAGTATTTGCATTTGAAGAGTCTATGGGGTGATGAGATCAAACTCGCGGATCAACCAGGATGAGCACTCCATAACCAGGTTAGGTCGAGCTAGCGACGTTAAACTTAGCGCTTCATGGGAGGCACCCCATGTTATCTTTTATTTCTTTCATATTTATTGCTTTCTAGTTTAATTTTATTGCTTTCTAGATTCGTTTTATTTAGTTTTATTGCTTTCTAGTTCGTGATTATTTTTGTTTTATAGTTTTTCTCTTTTCTCTTGCACCAGGGACGATGCAAAGTTTTAAGTGTGGGGGGAGGAATCATTAATTTGGGGATATTTCTAAAATTTTAAAAAATTTTGCTTTTGCTTGGATGACTCATATGCTATTTTTGGTGAATAAGTTACTTGTCTTAGCATGCAGTTACAATTATTATCTCTTGTTGGTTTGTGGTTTGTTTTAGTGGTGCT